TAATGTAAGACATATGTGAGATGTGCGTCATGGTGTAATGAATATCGGCTCAGAATAAGAAATCGGCGAGTCGAGTTCAAATTCTAGTCGGTTTCTTTGCACTTAAAGGTTTGGAAGGAAACAGGCCAATAATATCAGAAAGAGCGTTAACAGCTACTGGACTTAAGTAACTTGTTTTTTCTGAAAAAAATGTTTTAAGGACAACATTTTATAAATTTCAACCGAAACCAGTACTGGCTGCTCCGGTAATGAATGCCAAATGTTTCCTTTTAGGGAAACGGTTAATATTACCAGTTGTCCTAGTTCTGCTATCTATGAAGTTCTGCTAGCCCATGAAGAAGGTTATTTGCTATTTCTCCCGGTTTATCGTCAGTATTTCCTGTAAGAGTTGCATTTTCTAGAGTCTCTTTCCTCATTACCCCCCCCACACACACACCACCACCACCACCACCACATTTCGGCATTTTTTTTTTTTTGGCTTTCGGATCATAAGTAAGCGTTTCATTGATGTTCCTATATCCATTAAAACTCCTCGTTATTTACATGTTCTGCCAATGTTCTTTTTAGTATTCGTCGATAGAACGGTATATTCTGCCATTTAGGTGTTTAGATATGCAATAGGATTTCTGATTTTATAATTTGTTTAGCATCATGACGGTTACTTTCACTATCCCTATGCACCTTTGGGTGTCGGTTTCACATCTTCCGCCGTTTTTACTACATTTCACACATATTTAACTTTCTGTTCCTAGTTGATTCTCTAATCATCAATTAGTAGCGCTCTCTCTCTCTCTATTTTTCTCTTTCTCTCATACGACCATGCATTCTATTTTCTTACAGCTAACAATTATGCTTTTCTACTTACCTTCCTTGAATACCTAAGAGATTGATTTTAATTTGTAGTGATTGAAATAAGTATATCTCGAGTGGATTTATCTCCAAAAAAGAAACAATCATTTTGGCCCAGCTATTTGAAACTAAAAAGTTGAAGATCATATGACATTTAATGCGGGGCTCTGTCCTTGAACCTACGTGTTTCTTATTTTCATCAACGATGTCATCTGTTCCAAACTAGGAATTTATGCTGATGACACAACTATTTACACCTGTTTTAGTAAGCAAGTACGACATGCTCGACAAAGTAAACCTGGCAACTGCTCTCGAAAAGTACCTCCAATCAGTGGTTAACAGGGGCAAGGAATGGCTTGTGAATTCTAACGCCTTCAAAACAAAACTGCTTTCATTTAATCCCAATAAAGAACTTTCTTTGTCTTCTATTTGATGTTTACCTCCAAGAGAGCAACTCTTTGTCTACGGTTTCACTGTGTCGTACCAGACAGTTTTTCACGTCATAATCCATCTTGCAAATGTATAATTCTAACATACGTCTTGTATATTGTTGCAATATTTGATCTGGTGCACCTACTATATATTTCGAGATTCTTGACAAAATCCAAAGAAGTGTCTGAAATGTAATCGATCCTGACCTGGCATCTCGGCTGCTGTCAATTACTCGCCATTGTGTCGAGGCTTTCCTCTGTTTTTCTACAAATATTTCAATTGTTCTGATGAGCTACTTGATTGGCAACTAGGTATCACCACATTACTGTTTAACTATCATTGATACAACTATATTTGCTATTGCAAAATTTTCTTTTCTCTCACTTCTTGCTTGTGGAACTCCCGATTTCTTGTTTAAATCTTCAAAAGTTTAGATGCCACACCAATCGCCATTTTCTGTCTTCCTGAATCCTGTTCTTTTATTATCCTTTCTCCTCACTAAAGTCTTTTCATTTCTATCACTCCCTGTTAGATTAAGTATCCTGAAACAAAGCTACATTTGTGAAGTACCCTGAGAGAATAGACCATACTAGATTACCACTTGTTTTCTAAACAAGCTCATTGTACTGTGGCAGGCCTCCGGTAAATAAGAAAAGTAGATCTTAGCTAGCCTTGTTCGAAAAAGATCAGTATCCGTGAGGATAGATAATGCAAAGATTGGCTTCAAAGAATAGCTTGATATGGCTCTTCGGCATACGTCCTGAATAAAGATACAATAATGTGTTTATCAGAGATGAAAAATGTTATTGCGCTATTTTGCTTAAGAAATATTTTTTTTTTTTAAATAATAAATATCTGCTACTGTGTAAATATAGATCAGTGGTTCTTCGAATTCCAAGTTATATTTCTCCCCTTGCAATCCCAGGTTATCTCCTCCATTTTTGAAAAGACATCGAATAACTTATAATTATACTTATGACTTCTACATATGGCTCAAATAATATTTATCTCCTGATATTCTAAATTCTTTTTCTTAGAAGCCAAGTGGCCCCCAAATGAGAATTCATAAGCTAGATTAAATCTATTTAAGTAGCAAGAAAGCAAGATGCTTAAAATATAAGAAGAAATTGTAAGAAAACTATATTTCATCTAGCTCCTTAGTTTTGCGTGAGTTAGAAAGTTAGAATGAGCATATAAAACTGGTTTATAGAGGACTTCATATCAATGGCTTATTTTTGTCTCTGTCTGTAGTTCTACTTTTCAAGTTAACTTTCTCCTCATTGTTTTCTCTTTTTCCTTGCACAGACGTTCATTGAATCACGTAATAATTACATGGAGTGTGTAACTTAATTAAACTAGTCACTAATGAAAAGCCACATTCACCGGTCAATATCTAGTATAAGAAAAATTACAGGAAAAGTATTTTCGCCTCTGATGCATTGTTTATATTCTAATGATTTTGCAGTAAAAGAAATACATATACCTAAACTTTGATAACTTGTCTTGATTAATGATTGTTTCATGACGTGATATGAACTTAAATTGTACTGACCGCCTTCACTCTTCGAAGATCTTAAATGAAAGAATAAAAATATGTTTATTAACAAATAGGGGAGGGAAAGAGGAAGTTCCGGTAGCAGATAAAAATAAGTGGCAAAACACAATAGTTATTTTTCGTCCAATCAAAAGCGTTGCTATAAACACAGAGGCATACCGTATCCCTGACTATGAAACCTAGCTACAAATTTCATTCCTCTTAAACTACACACAATGTTACATCCATCTCAAGCCACAATTTGTCCACGGTGATAGCCAATTCTGGAAAATCGCGACTTCTATTTAATTCTATAACATTTTATTTAGTATGTTCTATTTCATATTCAACAGTACATATCGACGCTATGCACATCCGATTCATTGAGAAATACAACTCTGTACTCTTACGAGATTAGTTCATAGAATCGGACTTGAAAGTAAACATCTTTCTTCTTTTTTTCTTCTTCTTTTTCTTCTTTTTCTTCTGCTTCTTTTTCATTTTTTTTATTCTTCTTCCTTTTTTCCATTAATAGCTGCAGAAATTCATGAAACATAATTCACATTTTCCGTTATTAATATTATTAAAATCAACCAGTAGAGAGTTAGTAATTATTTCGTAAAAAGCATCTACGGGAAATAATTCCGTTACCTAAAAGTGTTACCTTTATTTTCATTATAATTTCAAATTTGACTTGAGTACGAGCTGTTTATGCAACCCATGATATCACAACGAGAATTACAGGTGCTAAATAAATATTAAACAGAAATTTCATCAATTTTAATGATTTCATCCATAATAACAATAAAATTTCTGGCACTATACAAGACATTTAAACATATTATATATATATATATATATATATATATATATATATATATATATATATATATATATATAGGGTGCCCAATAAAAAAGCAGTAAATGATATTTATTATATATTAGCCTTTTGATTAAATTGAAAAAGGTCAAGCTGATAAAGAACATAGACGTGTTCGAAAATTCATACTTTAAAATCTTTCTCTTCGTGCTTCAATTTAGTGAACAGGCTAATATATAATAAATATCATCAATCTTATTGACAGTATTGTTATAATTCTGTTGTCTTTTTATTCCTGAAAACTCATTAACCGGACTATATACATATAAATATAAAAGTGGACATTGAAGTCAACATCCGGAGGTGATAGTCATTTTCACGCTAAACGCAATCGTCAGGCCATGTGCGTTGTGTTTTTGCATCACTTTATTATATATATATATATATATATACAGGTCAGCGATGCTTTGTGGGTAGTCTATTGTATTATTCTAATCGTTATTTTGGTGGACGTGGTTTGTTAATTTGCTTATTATTCATTTAATTTATTTTACTTGGATTTATTTATTTATTTTATTTTATTTATTATTTTCATTGTTTTGTCCGTTTTCGATTTTTAAGCAACGTAGTAAAAATTTCTTTTCGAGACTGCATATTAAGATAAGTTCCAAACGTTTATTTAGTAGTTTATTTATTTATTTATTTATTGTCTAGGACGGTAATTTTGGATATTTTTTTCTTCCGGGCAGAGATTACAGTTTTGGATTGACTGTTGTAGGCCCTTTTATGTTGTATGATATTTTGGTGTGAGTTGTTTTGGGTTTTAATCTCCCAAATATGTTTAGAAAGCATTGTAATGTTTTACTATTTGCACATAATGTTTTGTGTGCGTATTTTTTTAGTTTACAGAATCTTTCATTTACTCCTATGTTAAGACAAAAGGAAAACTTATCTTAGCTAACGCGTTTCGTCCTCTAAGTGACTTTATCAAGGCAGGTATATGAAAGTTATATTTAGTGGATACACGTATTTGAGTAAATATCAATGTTTTTTTTTAATAGTGAAATTAATGTCTACCAGCCTAAGAAATTGAAATTTTATTATAAATTATATCCAATTTTGTACACACACACACAAATACATACACACACACAAACACAAATACATACACACACACACACACACATATATATATATATATATATATATATATAAGATGATATATATTTCTATGGTATGGTATATGCTTAGGATAAAAGTGTTCAATATCCGGCATATATATATATATATATATATATATATATATATATATATATATATATATATATATATGAGGGAGTGATGATCGGTCACGATCTCGCCCCGATGCTCTATGTGGGTGGGGATGATAATGTGGGTGAATTAAATTTTTGGTCAATTTAATGAGATAACTCTTTAAATTTTTATTACTACCTTAATTTTTAGAAAATTTTAATTTCACTTTTAACTTTGTCTCCGAACATAATTTTTTCTTTGTTATTCCATCTTTCATTTCTATTCATTGATTTTATTTTTCATTTTTAATCCTCTTTATTTGTTTTATATTCCTTAAAATATTTATACTAAAAACTCCTCAGCCCCACCAAGATAGAATTCAATAAAACCATTTCATTCGTTTCTTCATATGGTCATATTTTTGGCCACGCCCAAGAACTTTTCAACGGCTCATCATAGTTTATCATTGTTTCTGATATCATTTATGTCCTTTTATTTAAAAACTATCCGGTCAATAAACAATTTTATGAATTATGTTTTTGTTGCCAAGTAGTCGAAAATATCTGACAGTTGTTATCTTTGAAAGTGTCCGAAACCTGAGAATCCAGACGACTAAGTCGATGACAAGAGGTTTATTGATAAAATGCTTCAGGCAAACGATGTCAACACAACTATTAACAAGAAACAAAAATCATTCACCATAATAGTAGCAAATCGATAATTGATAGTGATGATCTGTACTTGAACCCACACAAATAACGTTTTATATGAGTAGTGTGAATTATCCAACTTAGAAGTACTGGTTTTATAATCCTCTGTTATATAATATAAGCATTTAGTAATTTAACAATTTTTAGTTTTATTGCTATTATACAATGAAAAATGGTTGGTTCATTTTATCACTCCAGAAAGCACCTAACTATTTCTACCATATTTTATCTTCACAAATGTCAGATTAGACCAGAAATGAATTATTGTTTCTCTATCTGGGCTGGCGCTACTCAATCATCGTTTTTTTCAGTCTTGATGGGATTAAAAATCGTTTAGATGGACTTGTGAGGGGAACTTTGAACTCTACAGCCTTTTTACCACTGATTCATCATCGCGAGCCTACAACTCTATTGCTATTTCTATGGCAAATATTCAAATGATTTATATTCTTTAGTTCCATCAATTCAGACATGCTTTGTCCACAGAGTCGAATTGCCGTCATTTCCCCCGTATTCAAATTGTATGGGGAAAGTTCAACTCGGGTAGCTTTCTCCCAAAATCTGGTACTTTATGGACCAGACTTTCACATCCATAATGCTCTTCAAATCAACGGTCACTGTCTATCCTCTCGATCTTTGCTTCTTACAACTTCACTCACACACCTTATTCAGGAACCCTTTAACTTGACTTGCTCTCGAGCCTTGTATTGACTGAACTTAAAAAACGAGTAAATAAATAAAAATTTAAAATGAAAAATGCTTCGTATATGTTTCCTCATCTTTGTTGCCTTTCTGACAACTTTTCGCCCGCCATATTCTCCAACGTTCATCAGTAAGAACCCGAAAATATTGATTTTTATTGGATTTACATAGGCCCGTAAGAAGTGATATAGATGATGAAAATCGATGTTAAAAACGTGTTTGGTTTCCTTCACTTTGTTAGTTCAATCCTGGGGTCAAGTAGCGCCATAATATACGATTATCAGCTGAAAAGCTTATGGGCTGACCAAGGTATAAATGTAAGTAGACACACCAGATGGTAAACAAGAAGATATACAAATGTACCAAAATATAACTCTACTGATCGGCTAGCTGTTGTATTCTGGTACACTCACGGGTCTTTTTGTCGAACAATTGGCGTGTCTATTTACATCTTGGTCAGCCTATGAACATTTCAGCAGACCTTCGTACAGGATCTCAATGGAGTGACAGCTTACGGCCATATCACGTTGAACCACCGGCTCTCGTACGATCACCGAAGCAACGTCAAGCCTGGTCAGTACCTAGATAAGTTACCGCTTGAGAATTCCAGTTAGTGTAAGTTTTGGTGCGCGGGTGGTGTAATGGGTAACGACTTAAAATTTGAACTCTAAGAGCCGAGTTCAAATTTCGGCTGAGTTTGTTATATTCGCTCACACGCAAATACCTCTGGGAAAGTTATGAATTTCACCTCTTATCTTCCTTGCTATGGGTTAATTAGTAGGACATGCATTAATAAATCGATATTATCTACATAAAATTCTGACCGTCTAAAAATATTTTTCAGGCTTTAAATAAACTACAAATGGTTGATAAGCCGTATGGACAAGCTTCATTTTCCAGTTCCGATAGATTCCAAAGGCGTCTTCACGTCCTTGTGGGTGGCGAAATATTTTCCACCCTAAAATCGCTTTCCCACAGACGGAACGTCGCAAGTATCTCGCTAATCCACCGCTATTTCTATGGAAAGTGTTCAGACTAACTACATTCCTCCGTTCCATCAATGCTAACCTTCACGTCTATGATCCACCATGCTACGAACGTTGTAGCGAACGACCCTTATTCCCTTCGTATTTCATGAGGGAGATGTAAGTTCCGCTCGAGAAGTTTCTTCCCGCGAACCACTGCTTTGTGTATCCGCCTCACAAAAGGATGCTTCTCTGATCACTACAATTTTGGCTTGTTCATGTCTCAGGTTTAACCGTTAACTTCCCTACATAAACTGTGCTTCTTACTCTCAAACCCTCTACCTTGAGTAGCTCTTGTGTCTTGTACAGGATGAACATCATTATAAGAAAAAAAACAACAAATCTATCAATCTATCAATGGAGTGACAGATCGGTATTGTAAATAAGAATTGGCGGTTGATTTTGCCAACTGATTGTTTCAAAACTTAATCTATTCAAATGTCTACAGAATTTATTAGAACGGGTGAAGTTATAAGTGGTTGCGTCTAATCTACGGTCTTAATCCTTCTCGGAAGCAATGTATAACTGTTGGAATTATACAGCTGATATTCGTGGATGGCAACACTTAGTCAATTAATCTTCCCCGGCTCTGCTTGTCGTGTGCGTCTACCGTTCCGGCTCGTGATTTTACGAATTAGACCGAGATTGATGCGCGCACTTCCGATTAAGTACAGAAGCTTAAATATCTAGGAAATGATTTAACAGAGAATGCAAATACGATACTGAAATCTGAACGGACATTGGATTAGCGAAAGATGCATGCCAAAATATGAAACCGTACATTTTATACTAAGTTTCTTTACTCGCACTTCTCGCTTGTGGAACTCCTTTCTGGCTCCATGCTTTTCCAGCCAACTTTAATATGCAAAAATTTAAATACAATGTCAATCGCTAGCTACTCTCCTCCTAATTACTCTTTCCTCTTCCCGCTCATTAGTAATTTTTCTGTTCCTAATTCTTTCACACACTGTAACCCTTACACGCCTTGCATGCGATGATACCGATTTTTTTAAAAAATAGAAGCTAAAAGCAGTATTAAGAAATATGAACATTTCCTTAAAAAACAACGAATGCTGAACTGCTATATTATATTAATCATCTGGTATGGCAGTGAAATGATCCCCTCAAAGATGAAGAGAAAACCGGAATCAACCGAAATGTGGTTCTACAGAAGGATACTGAGAATTTCATAGACAGAGAGCGTAAGCAACGAAGAACTCGTAAGGCAAATGGAAACAAAAAGGACGCTTATACTCAAAATTAGAAACAGCTGAAATTAGAAACATAAATGAGAAAGAAAGGTTTAAAGAATTTGTTACTCATAGTGCATATCGTGGTTAAGAGGGACAAGGAAGGGCAGTTGTCCCCTTGCCGGACGGGCTTGTGCGTATGGATAGTGGAACAGGGCGTGCGTTTGCTTTGGCAAAGAGACAAATGTTGCTAAGTGCTACATGGGATAGGAGATTGTGGGAACCAGGTCCGAAAGGCCACGTTTGCTTCGGCAAAGAGAAAAATGATATATTAATGTACGTTTTTATAAAGGGCTCACTTTTTGATATTCCCCCAAAAGATACAGCGTCTGAAAATTTATTAAAACGACAAATTAATTTGAGGAAACTAATTTGAAAACGTCAATAATTTGACTTAGTACAGAATCACATGAAAGGTTTATGAAGACAGTTCCATTAATCTTCAAAATTGCGAGAGCATACCTTTAAAATCAACATGAACCGACTTCAAAAGAGAACAGTGACGCTAATAGAAAATGTCATGGAATTGGAATGTCGTTTAAATGATAACAAAAGACAAATCTTTTATCCAATATTTTTATCAGTTACTCTCAACAGTCTATAGTTCTTAGATATTACACCCTCGCCACAGTCTATAGTTCTTAGCCTCTATCTTCGTATAAAAGTCTATATTAAAACGACAAATTAATCTTGACAGAACAGTCTAAGTTTTGCCTCTAAAACGCCAAGTCTAAGTTCTTAGCCTCTATCTTCGTACACCCAGCCACAGTCTATAGTTGAAAGCCTTTATCTTCGTGAATACCCTCGCCACAGTCTATAGTTCTTAATCTTCGTACACCCTTGCCACAGTCTATAGTTCTTAGCCTCTATCTTTACAAATCAACAGTCTAAGTTCTTAGCCTCTAAAAAAGTGAACACCCTGACAGTCTATAGTTCTTAGAAAATCTTCATGGAATTGGAAGTCTATAGTTTTAAATCTTGATACCCTCGCCACAGTCTATAGTTCTTAGCCTCTAACAGTCTATAGTTCTTAGCCTCTAACCCTGTCTACATTCTATACCCTCGCACAGTCTATAGTTCTTAGCCTCACCCTATTTTAGTTCTTAGCCTCTATCTTCGTATCTACCCCTCGCCACAGTCTATAGTTCTTAGCCTCTATCTTCGTACACCCTCGCCACAGTCTATAGTTCTTAGCCTCTATCTTCGTATACCCTCGCCACAGTCTATAGTTCTTAGCCTCTATCTTCGTACACCCTCGCCACAGTCTATAGTTCTTAGCCTCTAGTTCTTACCCTCGCCACAGTCTATATACACCCTCGCCACAGTCTATATACACCCTCGCCACAGTCTATAGTTCTTAGCCTCTATCTTCGTACACCACGGCCTTCTATAATTCTTAGCCTCTATCTTCGACACCCCTCGCCACAGTCTATAGTTCTTAGCCTCTATCTTCGTATACCCTCGCCACAAAGTTCTTAGCCTCTAGTATACCCTCGACAGTCTATAGTTCTTAGCCTCTATCTTCGTACACCCTCGCCACAGTCTATAGTTCTTAGCCTCTATCTTCGTATACCCTCGCCACAGTCTATAGTTCTTAGCCTCTATCTTCGTATACCCTACACAGTCTATAGTTCTTAGCCTCTATCTTCAATATACCCTCGCCACAGTCTATAGTTCTTAGCCTCTATCTTGCACACCCTCGCCACAGTCTATAGTTCTTAGCCTCTATCTTCGTACACCCTCGCCACAGTCTATAGTTCTTAGCCTCTATCTTCGTATACCCTCGCCACAGTCTATAGTTCTTAGCCTCTATCTTCGTATACCCTCGCCACAGTCTATAGTTCTTAGCCTCTATCTTCGTATACCCTCGCCACAGTCTAACACACGGCCTTTTATATTTACCCTTGGCGATCTGCGAGGAGCTGCTTAAATTATCTCTAGTGATGCTTATTTATATATTCATCTATCAAACATTCTCGTTCTCATGCTTACAATACCAGTTAAGGATGTGAAGTCACGTTTTTCTCTATTTGGTGGCCAAAACTGATACCCGCTCAATCCTCTGTTGCACCCGGCTTTTTTTTTTATATCTGTTGCGAATTTTGTGCAATGTCTATTCCGAAAAAAAAATAACAACTGTCTTAGCCACCAAGCTGATCTTCATAGTAGAATATATCACTGACTATTATTATATAAAGAGAATTTAATAATACTATCAAAGTATTTTGGGGGGAAATCACGTAGTAAATGACTTATCAATATTTTTTATTGATTTCCCATTAAAAGTCTCAAAAAATCGAAAAATAAGCCTGGACATTTGTTGAGTATTTTTTTAAATTCTTCTGAAACTTTAAGCAAATGCTGTCGAGAATGCTTCCAGGACATTTTCAACAACCTCCTTCAAGGTTATCAATATGAGTGAGGTTAAGTGAATGTACTTCACACTTGGAAGACTTATCTTCTCGAGAAAAAGAAAATTAGGATTTCGAACCTAATTGCGGGTCTCAATGCGGAACATGTGAACCGTTTCTTCACTAGTGAGTCGATCACTGAACTCTCCACATAAAAAAAGACTAATATTTATGTTTTGTGAAAAGATTATGTACTGTGCATAATTCACGTAGATAATATAATAAAAAGTCCGAACTGGCCATGCATCTGACTGTCAATAATGTCAGATTCCATCAAGATTTATGTCTTTTGGAACAATACAACCAGTTGCAAAAGGAAAGGGGGTTTTATTATGAGGCACATTCCGCGTAGGTAACTTTCATCAGGGAGAAGAGAAAAGAAAAAAGTCTTATTTCCAACTGCAGAATATAAAAAGCTGTAGCGAACAGTTCATAAAATGGAAAAAAAAACTTTCAGATTTGTCATTAATTTGGACATACAATCATAAAAATTTGCGCTTGCTGCCTCAGATTAATAAGCTAACACGTGATAATAGCAATAATCAGTAGCAGCAATATTTTGTCAGTCAAATTGGCGCCAACCGGCGACTACAAATCGACTGTCGCAAAAGTGATAAGCTCTTAATCCTAAAACTCAAAGCTCAACAGGTAAATGTGCTGTTTGACTTAGAGAAATTTCATCGAAATGAACTAATCCCTTTTTGTCTGATGTCACGCGATTAATAAAATACCCAATTAAATTATTAGTAGGAGTTGTACACAGCCGTAGACTGTAGGGTCACAGTCTCACCAGGAAAGGCGGAGCTACTGTGGTGTCTGGATTACGTAGTTTTCAACAGGGAAGAGTTGCTAGTTCCAAAATAATCCAAAAATGTTTGGGCATGGAGTTAGCAACTCGAACCTTCGATGCTATTAACCTCTAGTTAGTGGGAGGAACTGGAATCATATTTTTCTCTGAGTTTTTTATCAAAAGCGAACGCGACGCCATCAGCTGAAATTTGAACTTGGACGCTAATCAAACGCCGATGCTAACTGCTGATTAAAGTTGAATATTACTAGCAAATAATTTCGGTCAAATTTTCTGTCTTCACTGCCATAACAATTTGCATCACACTATGACATAACATTTTTTTATAACATTAACATTCATGAAGATATTGAGACATTCAAAAATAAATTAATTTCCGTAGCAATAAATTATTGTTTGGTTAATATTTAATATCAGACTTTTTTTCATAATTTCTGTTCAGTCCGTTTTTAAATGAATTTCACTATTGACAAATTATTACTGTTCTGTTTCCATAAGAAATTAAAAAAGATAATTTTCCATCCCTGTAGAAAATTAGAATTATATATCTGTCGCCGTTATTGCCGAGCATTGAGATGCTCATCGATTTTTCCTTCTGTGGGAAATGAGTCCTATGTTGGATCTGAAGAGACGTTCACATTCACCGCAGAGTAGAAAGGTTCAGGGTATAGAGGGGTCTGGCTTTTCTTTGGGCGCTCTTGGTCTCTTCTATTTGTCTTTTGGCGTTTTAGGATATTTTTGTGGACTGTTCTTCTCCAATTGGTTATTTCTGCAGCTTTCGTCTTCCAATTGACCGGATCGATTTCTATCTTCAGAAAGGTGGGGTTTCTTTAATCTACGACGTGGGGCGCTACGTGGTCTCTTGCCAGATGCGATCTCTGAGAAGAGGGTTTGCTTGGGTATGGTTAGCGGATGCCTAATATTCGTGCATGGTATCTTCGGGCACGGTGTCGCCCCATCGACGTCGGTGTGGAGACATGATGGTTTCTAGGATCTCCATCTTTGCGCGAAAGGAACTTCGTTGTTCGTGATCCGGTACTGCTATATGTTTCGCAGAATTTGACGACGTTTCATTTGATGGAGTCTTGCAAGTTTGTGGATGTCTCTTCGGTAGAGTGTCCAGTTTTGACGGACGTACAGGAGAGCCGTGTTAGCCTAAGTTTTAGGCTTTTTTTAATCGCTTCCATATGCTGCGTCGGCGGTCTTGATTTGGTTATTGACGTCTTTTTCAGCGGATGAATTTGACGTTAGTAAGCTACCAAAGTATGGAAATTCTTCGGATCCAGCCTGTTGACGGCGATTTTGACTCCATGTGTTGGTTGTTATCCCAGTTGTGGTTGGTGCAGGACATTGATCTTTGCCACGATGATAGTGAGTCTGTGGCGGATGTACAGTCTGGAGAAGCTGTGCCTTGAGTTCTGGATTTCTTCGAGTTCATGGGCCAGGATGCAGATGTCATCGGTGTATTGGAGCTTTACAACTCGGACGTATGCTGTTTGAGTCCTGGACCGGTGGCTAGTTATGTTGAAGGGGCCACTATCGGTGCGATATCGAAGGTCGATACTAGGGTTGCCGTTTGGAATCTCCTGAAGCATTATCGCTAATTAGATGGAAAAGAGGGTAGGAGCAAGTACACACACTTGTTTCAAACCCCTGTGATAGGGAAGGAGTCCGAAAGGCAGGTTTCATGTTGGACATGATCCATCATTCCCTTGCGTACAGCTCGTATGAGCACCGTGAATATCTAGGGGCATCCGTAGTGTCTGAAGACCTAGCACATGACTGGTCTTGGAACACTGTCAAACGCTTTGCCAAGATCGTGGAAAATCATTGCCAGGAGTTTTTGCTGCTTTCTCCACTTTTCCTGGAGTTGTATCACGGAGAAAATCATATCGCTGGTTCCTCTGTTGGTTCTGAAACCACATTGACTTTCAGGGAAGATGTCATCTAAAAAATTCAGGAGGCGATTGAGAAGGATCTTGGTGAGAATCTTCCCTGTGATGGACAGGAGAAAGATCCCACGGTAATTTCCAGAAATGATTCTACTTCTTTCAAAAAGATGGTGACGGTATCCGCATCCTTCAGATCTGATGGAACTTCTTTCTTTTCCTAAATCAGTAAGAGGAGGAGCAAAACTCTTTTGAGGGTTAAAACGTCATGCTTTATTAAGTTCCAGGTGTGGGGGTGTTATCCGGCCGCAGGCCTCTAAAGGATTTGTCGGATTTGAGCGTAGCTTCAAAATCATGATAGTCACGCACAGCCACCTTTGATACCAAGGACTGTTCTAGTGCTTGCCGTAAAATTAGATGTCAGCACTGAAATAATTGCTGAACATTTGAACCGAATTAAGAAGTCGAAGAAGCTTGAAAATTGGACGCCGCGGGAATTGAATGAAAGTCAAAAATTAACGTTATAAAATCTGATTTTATCTTCTTTTACGTAACAGGGACGACTCATTTCTTCATTGCATTGTGACGCGCGATGAAAAGTAAATCCTACACAACTGTCGACGTCGAGGTCAACGATTGGACCGAGATGAAAGTTCGTAAACGCTTTCCAAACCAAAGTTGCACCAGAAAGATATAGCGATTGTTTGATGATTCGTAGCCGGATTAATCCACTTCTGTGACGAAATGGTCACGACATAAAGTCACAAAATCGATTGAATGCATCAAAAACTGCAGCGTATGTGTCCAGTATTGGTCAATAAAAAAGATCCAATCCCTGTGCATAACAATGTTCACCCAACATTACAGAAGACGAACGAAGAAAAAACTCGGACTCATTCAGTATCCTCACCGGACTTTTCATCCAACGACTATCACCTTTTCCAGCATTTCAACAACTTTTTGCAAGTCTTCAACGTCAAAACAGTCTAATTTTTTTTTTTAATTATCAGTCTCTAGAATTTTATCTTACTGTAGCAAATATTTGTAAATTCTAAGTGCTTTTATTTCTATCAATAAAGTCCATTCTGAAGTGAGATATGTCTTTTTAAACTTAATGTCTAAAAACCAGCATTAATTTCTTAACAACCTGATAAATGATTTTAATCATCTTTATGCTATGGACGTATAGATCTGAAATCGTAAACATGACTATAACAACTGTAAATAAATAAAGTGACGATATAAGTTTTGTATCTGTCACGGTATATCATGGCCTATTCTATTTCATTATCTTATCGCATTGATATTACTCCATGCAAGGCAGTAAATCCCCTAAGATGCAAGGGATTACAGGGTGTGGAAGTATTAGGAACAAAAACATTAATAACGAGCGGGAAGAGGAAAGAGTAAATAGGAGGACAGTAGATATCGATTGAAATTGCATTTAAATTTTTGCAGATTTAAATAAACAGTGAATATCTAGGGTCATCCGTAGTGTCTGAGAACCTACCACATGGCTGGTCTTGGAACACTGTCGAACGCTTTGCCAAGATCGTGGAAAATCATTCTCAGGAGTTTTTGCTGCTTTCTCCACTTTTCATGGATTTGTCTCACGGAGAAAATCATATCGCTGGTTCCACGGTTGGCTGGAAAGTATGGAGCCGGAGGGGGGGTTCCACGAGCGATAAGTGAGATTAAAGAAACTATCAGCATAGAATTTACGGTGACATCTAGCCATCTCAACGAAATTG